ACTAGATTTCCCTATCCAAAAATGCATCTCATTCAGCATTATGAAGGATTTATCTTTTAGTAAAAGGGTCTAAACACTAGACTTTTTGCATTTTTGCATTTGGATATGGGCTATCTTACTACATTTCCTATTTTAGAAATACTTCTTTGGAAAAGGTGCAGAAAGGGTCTCTCTTACACCCCACTTCCTCACCCTCATCACTTGCTGTTACATTTACATTGTGTAACATTCTATGGGTGCTTATTTAAATGATGAAAAATCAATTATTGAAAGCCAGTATGAGCAGAATTAGAAGATAAAATGAGGGATCATTCTATGTGAGAAGGGGCATGTGTGAATGTAAAAGATTACATGTGCCTTTGTCATTTTCCTTTTCTTTCTATCTAAAGTGGTCCTAAAAGGTTGAAATGTAAGAAATACTTTACTTTGGGCTACTGAATAGCCTCAAGGTCTGTTCACTTCAGTATTTTTTCTGAGAAATGCATCAAGGAATGATTTGAAAAAGAATAGGGTTGGGGCAGCTAGGTGGTACAGTGGATAGAGCACAGGCCCTAGAGTCAGGAGGACTTGAATTAAAATCTGACCTCAGACATTTAGTAGCTTTGTGACCCTGGGCAAGTCACTTAACCCTGATTGCTGCCTCCTCCTCTTCTCTTTCTCTCACCTCCCCCTCCAAAAAAAAAAACAAGAAAAGAAAAGAAAAGAAAGAAAAAGAGTAGGGTTGCCTTCCATGAGGTTGACCTTAAAAAGATTGAGTATTGGGGCCCCTAGGTGGTATAGTGGATAGAGCACTAGTTCTGGAGTCAGGAGGACTGAGTTCACATCTGGCCTTAGACATATCACTCACTAGCTGTGTGACTCTGGGCAAGTTACTTAACTCCAATTGCCTCAAAAAAAAAAAAAAAAAAAGATTGAGTATTTCCTAAACCTTCTTGTATGCATGTGTATTTGTACATTTGACCCAAATACTATAAGTAACATTTCCTTTTACTTGCTGCTGAACTTTTCCTTTCACTTGTCAAAGGGTGATTCTTAGGTCCAGTATAATTGGACTTGATAAGCAAATTCATGTTGATCTTATTTATAATTTTCATGATTTTATCAACATGAATCAAATTTTTGCTTGTCTTGGTCTTCGATGAAGAACCTTGTTTTGTTTAGTACACCTTCATATTGTAGCCCTTTCACATACTTGAAGTTTCTCTTCCTTGGGCCATCTCTGTTCTTTCACTGCCCCTGTACCACTATGTGACCTTGGGAAAGTTCTTTAATCCATTTGGGCTTTAGTTTCCTTAGATCTAAAATAAGGGAAATGGAGTTGATTACCACTAAAGTAATACAATCCTAATTAGTCTGAATCTGTCTTTAAATTCAATAAATAGAGTGCTTAAGTCAGTTATATGGTATTTTTTTTTCAATGCCTCTGCCTGAAACCTTAATGCACTTTTAAATACACTTATTAGTTCCAATTAGATGCTGGGGATACAAAAATAAAAGTAGAACAGTTCTTTCCTTAAAAGAATTACATTCTATTGAGGGTTGGGGGAATTATAACATATACACAGATAAGTGTTGTAGATATGTATCAGTGCAAGAAACATGTTTTAAGCGTCTTAGGAGGAAAGAAGTTTTTTAAATGGTCACCTCAGAGATTGTGAGAGGCTTGGGGAAGAATGAAAGGATCATCATGTTGTACTGAGGGCCTTTTTGAAATTAGATAACACATTTGTAGTGAACCCAATCAGCACAGTTGTCTGATTTCATCACTCTTCAGTAGCATGCGACTAGTCATAGAGAAGGAGAATAGTAGGGGTACTCTGGTTTGGGATATGGCAAGGTTTGAGGGGTGATTGGACAAGGCTGTCGCTTGTTTCAAATGCAGTTTGTACCGCTATCCAGTATGTTTTTTTTTTTTTTGTTCTTTACCGTTTGGACATTAGTAGTATATTTTGTCAATATCTCCAGCCAATAGAATGCAATCTCTCCGAGGGCCTTTTTTTCAACTTATAACTGATGATAGATTGGAGTCTAGAAATCTAGTAGCTTGGGTTCTCCATAAATTTTGTTAAATTCAGATAGAGTTACTGGATGTGTATGTGTGTGTATGTGTGTGTGGTTTATGTGTTTTCAGAGAGAGAACGTTAACTCACAGAGTGTCAGTAGAATTTATACAGTTTAATGGTTTTAAAATTGTTTTGCTTGTTTACTAATGGTGACATCCAGGGGCCAGATTAGAATTCTCAAACCGAAATTGCTTTTGTCATAAATGCAAGGGACCTAATAGTTGTGAGGTATAATGGGAAGAGCCCTACGCTGGAAAGCAATGTCCTTTTGCCCAGTGTTTAGTTTAGTAGTGGTTGTTGAATTGAGTCAGTGGAAACCTAATGTTCCAGTCCTCCCTCTGTTAATTGGCTGTATGATCTTGAAGAGCAAATAGTTTGCCTCTGTAGGCCAGTGTTTTTTCCATCTGTGAAGTGAGAGAGTTAATTTAGACTAATCATAAGGTCCTTTTCAGCTATTATTTATATATAATGTATACATTAATACATGTCCTGTATATTTTTCTTGAATACATGGGACTCATAATTTAAGATAAGATTAGAAATATTTTGGTTCATATTTCAGAAATAAAGTCTAATCACAGCATCTCAGAGTTAGAAGAAACTGTTGGAGGCATTTAGGCCTCCTTGTACCTCAACCAGAATCCCTTTTACAACCTCCTCATAAGCAGTCAGGGAATATCTGCTTGGATACTACAGTGAAGGGAACGAACATCTCCAGAGGCACTTTATAAAACCTCTTTTAGATACCACTTCATATTTGGTTAGTTTTTACCCTTATTTTGAGTTGATATCTCTTTCTGCAGCTTCCTGTTTCTCACAGTTCTGTTCTCTTCGGCTAAGCAAAACAAATTTAAACGTTTACTCTTGATACATTCCTATCTTCACTAAGTCTTTTCTTCAGACTTACCATCGCCAGTTTCTTTGGTTGAGTCTCATATGGTTTCCATTTCATCACTGTTGATTCAATGCTATCTCAATTCCATATCCATCAGGGAACTTATTGGTTACTGTGACTAAAAAATATAAATATCTGGGCCTCAACCTTGTGGTTTTAACTTATCTCTGAATTTAGCAAGACTAGTGTGTGACCAGGTTTATGGTGCACAGGCCCTTGGAGCTTACCAAAATTTAGGCTCCACCAGTATGTCCTTTGAGAATCCAAAGGCCCTTTCATGTCATGATGATGATATTTAATGCATTCATTCGCTTGTGTTCCTTTTGATCCTTTGTAAGGCAGTGGCCTTCATATGACTATGAAGTTGTTCCTAAATTTTAGAACTTGTTATCATTTGATATGTTTTCAAGAAGAACCTGGTGTGTCCAGTAAGGTGAGGGGAAAGGAATAGGGGAGACTAATTTAGCTTCATGCACTAGTCTGAGAGATAAGATTCTTTCAATTTCAGTTCAGGCATATGTCTTGGTTGCATAAGAAAGATCTTTAGCTATGTCTTAAAAAACACAAAAAGTGATTATATGGCATAGGACCTGTTACTTTTCTTTGGTGAGGCAAGGGGCAACCTTTTTGTTTTCATGGTGAATGAAACATGTTTTTGTAACTCCCAGTGTATACCTCAAAAGAGATCATTGTCCACTTCTTGGATTGTTGAAATGGACAAATTTAGCTGAGGTAAAGTTAAAAAAAAAAAAAGCCTTGTTGGAAGGAAAGTAACATAAAACATGGAAGAGTTAAGTTTATTAATTTCTAATACCATCAGTCATATAACAAATTTAATCAAATGATTAATTTGTTTTCCATTAAGAGGGGGGAAAGCCCTAGATCTCAGTGAAGAGTATGCATGTGTACACTCTTTCTCACACTGTAGAAAGATCTATGTATTAACATCCTGCCAAATGGTAACCTAATTACTTCTGCCATCTTATATGACCCTAAGGTTGACCTTGTCTTTACTAGTTTTATGTGAACATTGAACTGTTCATGACACAATTGTTTTTGCCATTATAATGTACAACCAGGTGTTTATTAATACTTAAGCATTATCCATAGGTGCCACTTAAAGGGCCAAGGAGAAACTGAGAAAAGAAGGGTTCATTGAGCAGGTGACAGCTCCTAGCAGCTCATTTCTGGCTCTGTACTGGTCCTTTGATAACCCACATTTGGGAGAAGGATCAGGGAAACAGGAGAAATTCCCAAAGCTTTAAAGAGCTGGACATTAGATCTCTTAGGAGCTGGGTTCTTGAGCACTGTACCATCCTGAGTAATGAATACCCTGTTATATAAATATCAAAAAGTTCTTAGGACTTAATCTAAAGTGGGACCTTTGCAGGCCCCGTGTGTTACAGTGATGTTTCTTCAAGAAATACAGGATATCCTCCTCACAGGGCTACTGTTAAGTACATCTTTAGGGCTTTTGCTTTGTTCTTTGGCATGGGCTTCCTGTGGCTTTTTTTTTTTTTTTATGAGTTTCGATGCCCCTATTGGGAATCTAGGTCACTTCTAGAACTGGGACAGGTTAATTTTACATCCTACTGTGAAATAGTGATTTTATAAGGCAGTGGTATACTGGATAAATGACTGGCTTTCCTCCCATCTCTTTCGTAGCTTTCACTCTAGAAGATAGGTTCTAATAGAAGAGGCCCTTGTGTATCATGGAGCCAGCAGTTTGGTGGCAAACTTTCCTTTTGGCCTCCAGGGAAGGGGAACCAAACAGCAAGGGCCATTTCCATCAATTGGTCATTTGTGTAAAACCAAGTCAGGTTATATTCTCCCCCCCGGAAAGGCGTGCTCATCTCCGGTATCTAAAACTGGCTCCCTTCACAATGGAAAGAACTCAGTCTTCTCAGCTTTAGGCAGCAGAATCCCTTTGGTTTTTCAGAACAAAATGTTAGTGGTCTGCCTCTATTGCACCTCAAAGCACAATTCAGTAGAGAAATGGGTTAAATAGGCATTTGTTTAAACTTTTTTCCCTTTCTGAACAGCCAAACCAGATGAAGTTCAGCCCTCTGCCAATTTGAATGGAAATGATATCACTGCTCCTCCAAACAAGGAGCTCCCCCCAAGCCCCGAGAAGAAAACAAAGGTAGGTGCAAGAATTTTCTGGTGTATTTTTGTTCTACAAGTTTCTTCTTTTTCAATATATGATATTTTCTTTTGCTATTCTGACCACAGATTTAAGTTCTGTTTTCTGAACTTCTGAGGTGAGTTTTGGGGAAGTTTCTTAAAAAGAATTACAAAATTGATATCACTGAGATGCTTAAAAAATCCTAGGCATGCTCTCCCCTTCCTTTTACAACGTTTACCTTTCCATTTTTATTCTTATTATTCTGAATTTCTTTTCAAACACTCTATACTCTTCAGAGAATATTGATCTTATTCTTTATGAAGAGAACTGCCTATTTTTAAAGTAATTTTGAAAGATTCAGTTGACTTTTTAGGTGGGTCATAGTTGGGTTTAGTCATTGAAAAGTTTAAAAACTTCAGTAGGGACATTGACACAATCATTGCATGGATAAATCTAATAGGAGTTTGTTTCAGCAGCATCATTACCTGCTGAAGGATGTAATTCAGAAATTAAATCTAAAATGTGGCTTTTAGTAAATTTTAAGTATCAACCATGGAAATCCTAAAATGTATGCTAAATTTATTGCACTTCAAGATAGTTTTCCCATTTTCTTATCTGCATTCTAGTTTTATTTCATTTGTTGAATTCAGAAAACAGAATGTTAATTTTCATTTTGCTCTAGGAATCATTTCCTATATATCCTCATTGCTTGCAATTTAATTTTGAAATATGCTCTTTATGCTTTTTTAAAGAAACTTTTGTTTTTCTTCTGTGTGTGTGCGTGTATATCATTGGATGCTTGTCTTAAAACAAAAAACAAACAAACAATAAAAAACAACGAACCTAAAGCCATCAACCACTACTCCATCTGCAAAGACTGCTACACCGAAAACCAAATCAGTGCCCACTCCCACCCCCAAGCGGTCCGTTTCCACCACTCCTGGTGGCCCAAGCAAAAAGCCCATGAGCCCTGCTCCAGGCCTAGCGCCAGCTGCCCCACCCAAACGACCTGCTGCTGCCACTGCTGCCGCCCGGTCCACTTCCTTAATCTCAAGAGATGGAAAACCAAAGGTAAGTAATCACCCAGGGACTTGATATGGGGAAGCCCCCAGTGACACCCCCCCCCCCCCCCAAATCAGCCAGTCAGTTCCAGCAGTTCTGTAGAAACATCAGAGTAGTAATAAGACAAAGAGTCAACCTGCATCTATGGTTGGTATGCTTAGATTTGGAAGACAGAAGGTAAAAACAGAGTGGTTTTCTAATCACTTTGGGAGCAATTTAGAGCCACCATCAAACTGAGATATCTTTCCTGATATGGTTTCTGGTCTCTGTCCAACTTTGAACTTTTTATTGTCTGTATACCTTTGATGGTGAAAGCTCTCACAGCACATTCACTGCCTAGCTAAAGCTATGACAGACGCATCCTTTCTTTCATATATGCGTTCATATCCAATGATGGCTTTGCATTTCATGATTTCATTTGCTGTTCCTTAACACTTAAGTACCCACATTCTGCACTGACCGTATTGTATAGTGGTGAATAGAAGGCAGTACTTTGTATGGTCCTTCTAATCTTCAGAAATTAGGGGGCTCCATCAAGGTGTGAAAAAGGGAAAAAAAATCTACAAATCTCAAAAAGCCTTCTTAGTTGTAGGATCTCTCCATCAGGTTCCGTAAACCTATTAATAGACGGGAAACTCTCCTTGTTAGCAGGATAATTGTTTGGTTTTGCCCTGTTGTTTCTCAGTTTTATTATACTTCCTTTGTTAGAGTTAAGCTAGTTATTGTTTCCAATAATTTTTGTTTTGTTTTGTATTTCTACCAATTTGGAGAACTATAACAATACGTTCCATTACATTATTTGTTTTATCAGTTTAAGGGAGGTTATGTGATGTAGTGGAGAGAATGGTGGGATGCTGTCAAAAGGCCTAAATTCTCTTCTCCGCCACTCATTTGCCGTATGATTTTTGTCCTGGCCATTTAATGCCTCTGAAACTGTTCAAAGTTCCCAGTGTTGGTGAACATTCTTGGCATTGGTGAGCTCTAAAGAATTCTCTTCCTCTTCTATAAACACTTCTCTCAAAACTGTGGAATGCCTTTTTGTTGTGGCAGCTAGGGAATGCTTGGGCTTGAAGTTAGAAAGATCTGAGTTCTGATTCAGCCTCAGGCTCTTAGGACAGTGTGACCTGGGCAGGTTCCTGCAGCATCCATTTCCACATCTGTAAACTCTACTTTCTGTTGAGGATAAAATGAGATAATATTTGTAAAAGCACTTTGAAACCTTACATTGCCCTAAAAATACTAGCTATCATTTTCATCATAAGACCACCAATAATAATAATAATGATAAATAATTATTGTTGTTTATCATTATTCTATTTGAATTCCCCAGTGTTTATTTCCTTCTGAGCACAAACAAAAAAGAAGCTGTGTGCTCTGGATTTGTTGTTTCCCTTATGAATGTATTGTCCTTTGGAAATAGTAACATTATTTACACCCCTTATTCCCTTTTCCCTTTTTTGCTTTTCATTCAGTCAAAGTATTTTTCATTTTAGGGGAAATCACAGTAATAAAACATGACATAAGTAAGTTTAAGGATTTTTTCCTTGCATTTTTCCTTTGAAATGGAAGTTCACAACTGTTACTTCAGTTATGTTCATTCTCTTTGTAGGAGGTGTTGATCAAACCATCTGCTTGCCCTTTTTCTATGATTTCAGATACTATCAAGAAATTTCCTCATGGTCTTTTCTTTCAAAGTGATTTCCCATTCCTTCTTAATCTGTCTTCTTGTGTGACTGAATGGATCTAATGTAGCCATGCGGATGAACATCTGCCTAGAAATCAAATAGCGTGACCCTAATGAAATAAAATAAAACCTTCATACTCCTTTATTTCCTTCAGTGCTGAACTTTCTTTCCCTCATTTCACTACTCCATCATCCTATTTTTTTTTTGCTAGCTTCTAAAATTTTCGTTGGTTTTTGCCCCTAATATCTTTAGCCTATGAGGAGACAAATGCTGCCTAAAACAAAGGAAACAGAATTTACAGAAAATATTATAAATAAAAAAGAGACAATATTCCCAGCAATTCATACCACAATAAATTCAAAATGTATAAATGACCTGAAAATTGGTAACATAAATAATTAGAAGACATATAGAACTTATACTTTTTACGACCATAGTTAGGGGGTGAATTCTTAAACTCAGGTTAGATATGATTGCAAAAGACAAAGCAGACAACTTTGAAAACATGAAATTGAAAAACTGTTGCGTGAACAAAATTAGTGCAATTGGATTAAAAGGGTGTGACTGGGAGAAAAATCATTGTATCAAAGATCTTTGACAAGGGTCTTCTATGCAAGATATATAGGGAACTAACATAAATATCTAGGACCAGAGGCTTTTACCCAATAGATGAATAGTCAAAGAATGCAAACAATTCTCAAAATTATTGCAGACTGCTAACACATATGTGAAATAATGCTCCATTTTACTCATAATAGCAGTGCAATCAAAACCACCCTGAAATCTTAACCTCACACCTAGTAAGTTGGAAAAGATGATAAAAAGATAGCATTAGTCAATGTTGGAGGGATTGTGGAAAGACCTATAGACTAATACATTTTTAATGGATCTTTTAATTCATCTAACCATTTTGGAAAGCAATTTGGAATCATGTGAAGAGAATGACTCAGATGTCCCCTCCTGGGCATATGCTCTAGAGAGGTTATTGACAAAAAGTAAGGCTCTTTCTATGTGCAAATATTTATAGCAATATTTTTTATAATAATCAAAAATAGAAATGAAGTAGATGCTCACTTATTTGAGAATGATTAAATAAATTGTGGCACATGAGATTAAATGCAATATTAATGTGTTTCAAGAAAAAAATGTGATGCATTGGAAGAGTTCTATGAACTGATACAAAATAAAGCAGAACTAGTAGATATATACACACACACACACAGTCATATGTATATAAAATGATTACAACAATGTAAATGAAAAGAACAATTGAAAGTGAATTATAATGATCAAGCTTGGCTCTGAAGAAGAGATAAGAGAAGACTCCTACTTCTTTGATTACGTAGAGAAGGTCAGACTTTGAACTTTTTGTTTCATTCTTTCTTATAAGCAGTAGCTCTGTGGGAAGAGTTGGGGAAAAGGACACAATGGGAAATGCAGTTAATGTAAAAAGAATAAAATATGTCTTTTAAAATATAAAAGAGAGCTTGATCAGTTTTTTTTTCCCTTGGAGAGAGCCCTATGTGGGATTGTTTGGAAAGACTGAAGTAGGATCATGAACCTTGGTTTTGCTTTGTTTTCCATTGGTTCAAACTAGGTTTTGAAGTTGATTCACCTCCTTATCATGGTCAAACTATTTAACTTTACAGTGCTTCAGTTTTATCCTTTGACTTGACTTAAAATATTTTCAAACTGTGGAACTTTTTTTTAAATACTTTGCGATTTTCTTTTTAAAATCAATGCCTTTTGTTTTTGCATCATTTATTCTTTTAAATCTATCCCTGCTGCCATCCTATAAAGCAATCATCTCTTCTAACAGTGATTAAAAAAGGAAGAGAAAAACACAGTTCAGCGAAACCAACTGTATCTGTCAGTATGTGCACAATTCCACACCCATAGCTTCCCACTTCAGAAATGAAGGGGGGCAGGTACTTTTTTTTTTTTCCATTTGTTTTCCAGGTCCTAATTTGTCCATTATAATAATAAGAGAATCCATTTTGTTTCATTCTACTTACATTATTTTTATTGTTTTCTGGGTCTTGCTTATTTCATCATACTTTAGTTCGTATGAGTTTTCTCATGTTTCTCTGAATATTTAATATTTATTTTTTCTTAAGGAGCAATAATATTTCATCACATTTGTTTAAGATGGTTTGTTTAATAATTTCCCAATTGGTAGATATCTACTTTGTCTCCAGTGTCTTGTTATACCTTGGGATATATGCCTACTACTAGGATGTCTGTGTTAAGGGTTTGGACATTTTAGTTGCCATTAACATAATTTCAAATTGCTCTTTAGAATAGTTGAAATAATTCATAGTTATAGTTTTACCAAGAGTGTATTAGTGTAAAGACATGGAGCCATCCTTATTTCCACTAATAAATTGTTACTTCAGGTCCCTAGTCCATGATTCACCTAGTCTACTCCTAAGTTTCTGGTTTCTTTGAAAATTTGCTATGTGACTGTGAACTTTATCCATGCTTCTTTGTTACCAGGCTTTGGATGCAAAGAGCCCTGAGAAACGAACCCCACCATCCAAATCTCCCGCAGCCACTACTAAACCTGCCTCAAAGAGCACCCCAACCACCCCACGAGTCACCGTGGCTGTTTCTCCCATGACACCTGGTCCAGCCAGTAGGAACACTTCTTCCTCTCCTCCTAAGAAACCTTCCTGTAAGCCTCATCCAGTATTTTAGACCTTTGGGCCCTTTCCAGTGGTGCATTTGGGACAAGCCATTGGGTAGCCTAACAAGGTAGTTAAGATTAGGGACAGTTACAATGTACCTTCAGGAAACCAAAGACTGGGCAAAACAGCCCAGGAGCAGGTAGGTGGCCACTCATCTTAATGTTAACCTACCACAAAAGGCTATTCACTTGTGGAACTTGGCTCAAAACAAAAATTTCTGGATACGAACACTTATTAAGGATATTTGTAGGTGGTAGCTCATTTGCCTCTTTAACAGATGGACTTTTTGACAGGTCATCCTGGAAATTAAGCTACTAAAATTCCTACTTATTTGTGTAGTGGGCCTATTAACCCATTCAAAATAGTCATTGGTTCATTAAGTCATGGTGACTGACTCTGCTCATTTCACTGAATTCCTGTTTGTGCCAGTTGGAGCAAAACTAGCTGATCTAGTTTTCATATCTGTGAATACGTTTTCTAGCATTCACATCTGTGAATACCGTTCTTCACAGAAAAAATGAAGCTAGTAGTTTAAAGCTCAAGTAATCTCTCCCTTTCTCTCCCTCCCCACTGTCATTCTACTCCTCCTCTCCTATTCTGGATGTCCCAGGCCCTCTATTTTCTGTGAAAATGGCTTCTTTGAATGCAAGGTAAAATGGTGGGAGGAGAGAGGACAAGGTCAAGGCTTAGGTGGTCTGAATTGAATTTTGTGTTTGTAGAGTAGATAATAAGGCGGGAGTGTTCCTTTTGTCCAAGGAAAAATTTCTTGCTGGGGAATAAAGAGGAAGAAAACTGATAAAATCACTTTCAATTAAAATACTACTGAAGATGACTTTCCCACTTCATCTTTCAGGGGAGTTAGATAAACTCAATCAAAATTCAGTTGTCTAGAGGCCTTTTCCACAGCCTCCAGTGACTCTGTGATCCAATTGGAGTGTGTCCCTTATTCTGCAAAGGCTGTCAGGGCCCTAGTCAGAATCTCCTGGGCCCAAGCAGTGGCTTGATGTATATAGCTCTCTCAATGGCATTTGAGTAGGGATTGAGCCCGTTTCCTGTATTCTCTTGTAAGGAAAAATGAAACTGATAGTTAATAGCACTTACTGAGTACTTCGTGTGTGCAGTAAGGGTGCAGAAGGGTTGTAAAAGAAACACCCTGAAAAAGCGTTCCTGTTCTTAGGAATTGATGAAGGAGTTGAGTGAACCCAGCATGTAGTGCATATCCTTTGAATAACTGTCTGCATGTTTATGAGAAATTGGTCATTTCAAAAACTGAATCTTTACCAATGTGCTTTCACTTGTGTAGCTCTCAGAAACGAGTCAAAGCCAACAGACATCAAGAAGACTACTGCAAAATCCTCCCTAGGTAATGGCCTCTCTCATACCCCTTACTTCATAATCTTAAAGAATTATATTGATTCATATTGTCATTAGTGTCTCTTAAGCCTGAATTTCTTCTGTCTCATCTCATTTGTCGATCTTACTCTGACTTTTTTCCAGTGGACTTGAGTCGTCCAAAGAGTGCCCCTACCATCGCTCAGAAGACCACTAGCACCACATCTTCGGGGGGCCCTTCCTTGCCAGGGGCAGCTTCCAGCCGGGTCAAGCCCAAACCTGTCACCCTGAGGCCATCTACAACTCCCTCTGTGGACACCAAGAAGCCAGGAGTGCCTAAGGCAGCCCCAACTAAACCAAATCCTGCAGCACCACGGCCCAGCCGCCCATTAACTAGCATCTCTGTACCAGATCTTAAAAATGTTCGTTCTAAGATTGGCTCCACAGACAACATCAAACACCAGCCGGGTGGAGGCCGGGTACGTCCTTTGCTCTTGGGGTTTCCTCCTGGGGCAACCATGGGCAGTCTTTGCATAAGCATGCTCATCCCTGCCCTTCCTGCTTCTTCCAGCCACTGATCACTAGACTTGCCTCCTTCTTTGCAAGGATCTTGCTTCAGCTCACAGCTGCACTGAGAGCTATTCTCTATCAGTTCTGCCAGATAGAGAAAGAAAATGTTTTAATTATTGAGGAGGGTTGGGATTATCATAGAAAGGGAAAAAGGGAACCAGTTTATATCTCTGAGCTGGTCAGTCTGGCTGAATTACTCTGGATCCAAATTCCTGTGCTTGAATAAGATAGAAGATAAGAAACATGGTCAACTTTTGGTTGCCTTAAAGGATAGTGGGAATTTCTTTCCCACAAAAGAGATCAGTTTCTTGCCATTCCATCCTCCATCTTTTACGTTATCCTCAGTATCTGTGCCACACGACATTTCTGGAGAGAGAGGTTCAGCCTGAATGAAGCAAGAGTGGAAGTGCCCTCTGGTGAGCATTCCATAAACTGCCTGCACTCCTGAAAACAAAAGGGGAGCTGGAAGGGATGGGGTAATGTAGAAGAGGATCTCATTTCACCTACTGATACTTGAATTTGATTTCCAAAAGGACTTTTATTTTATTTGGAGGGGGGAAGGGGGGCAATCCAGTGCAGTTATTAAAGTCAGACAGTGACTCAGTGAGTGAAACATTGGAATCAAGAAAGCCTTCCTTAAGCTGTTATGGTAACAGGAAAAAGCAGTCCTGATCCCTTTAATTATTCGCTAGGCACAGAGACTGGGAAATCCTCAGCCCCTCTGGCAAAAGTTTATAATTCAGATTGGTAAAATAGGGAAAATTGAGTGCCTTTGATCTGAAGTTGTTATAAATGGAGGGGAAGGTTGCCAGAATAAAGGTCAGGCAGGCAGGGTGTTGTGAATTGATGGAGATTAGGGACTGGAGCAATACGTACCTTTGGTGCTGAATTCAGGCTAAGGACTTTGGGCACACTCAGGATTTAAGGCTGCTTGGAACCTCCAGGATTCCTCCAGAACAGTGGCAGTAAACACCGACTACTCTACTTCCCTCTTCTTGTTTGGTTTTTATTCCTTACAGCAGCAGGAGTCCTTGGTGGGCATGCTACAGTTTACTTTATTTTTCTTTCCCTAACAGCTTTGCTTGATCAAAAAAGGGCCCCAGTTTGACTGACAGTCAGGAAAGTTGTTGTGTCCTCTCCCTGTAGACCTTGGAGAGTTCCTGCTTAAGGATCATCTCTCCTACCTGAATATACAGGGCAAAGATGAAACAGGAATCGATCCTAGAAAATCTGTCAGAGTGCTATAGCTACCTCCTTCTGTAACTCTTTCATACCTTCAGAACATGGAATGGAGAGGAGGAGGAGGTAAAAGAGAAGAAGAAGGATATCTGCTGAATTTTCTCTAGTGCTTTATGGTTTACAAAGCACTTTTCCTTAAAACAACACTGGACATAATAATTTACTTTAAAGTTTGCAAAAACATTTTATGTACATATTTTATTTGAGCCTCTTAAAAACCCTGTGAGGAAGGTGCTATAAGCATTATGACCACTTTACAGATGAAGCACCTGAGGTTCAGATAGGGTAAATAGCTTGTCCATGGGCATATGGGTAGGAAGTACCCAAGTCAGGGTTCTAATCCCGATCTTCCTGGCTCCAGACTTCTCTCCCTGAACCGCTGTGTGGTGCTGCCATTGGTTTCAGCTCCTATGGACTCAGTATTTGCAGTGGAGGAATCAAAACAGAATCCATAGGAGAGTCTTATTTACTTACCGGAGGTCATGGGTAGGGGAAATGGGCTGGTCACAACCCTTTTTACCTGGGATAGTTACTAAAATAGAGTAACTTTGTGAATTAATGGGGATCTCTAAAGTTTGACTTTGCCTCAGTGCTCTACTTGGACATCCCCTTAATTGTTGTGGCCTAGGGCATGGGAATATCTCTTCCTTAGGAGTACAGGCATGTGTACCTGTTGTGGCTCTTGTTCTTTTCCATCCCTGGAATTCTTCGTTCCTTCCTTCCTGCCTTCCCTAAACTCTCCCTGCCTGTAGAAAGAAGACATCAATTGTGAAAGTTCCATTGATCTCCTGATCCAGTACTCCCAAGTTTGGGCCCTGGTGCTCTCAGTTTGAAATCACCCTCCATTTGTCTCCATCTAGGCCAAAGTAGAGAAAAAAACCGAGGCCATCGGTACAACACGAAAGCCTGAACCCAGTGCAGTCACTAAAACAACCACCACCTTTAAAGCAGCTGAAACAAAAGAGAGTGCACAAAAACAGCCCAATGGGAAAGTGAGTTTTGTTTGAGACTTTCACCTGTTGAGGATGGAGGCTCAGAACAACATCTCTTCCACTTTGAGCCACTTTTTCTTGTCTCAAATGATTATATTTCTTTCTTCTGTCTCCCTGGTCCCCTCTCTTTCTCTTTGTATTCCCTTCTCCGTTTTTGATGATTCTTCCTCAATGAGCCTGTCACGTGGAACTAAAAACACCTGTTTGCTCAGACTTCATCTGGGAATTTAGGGCAGCTAATAGGAAATACTTCTAACCTAGGAAGAATAACTTCTCAACCTAGAAAGAATAACTCCCAAAAAAGGCAGAAATCTGCTACTACCATGACAGTTTTCCATAGTCTCTACCCTACACTCAAAAAGACCTTTGTTCTTTTCACTCGAAATATTTCCCAAAATGACCAAAGGATGGGAGCTGTCTCTAATATTTCCCTGTACTCAGATGCATGAAAGAAAATACCCATTGACAAAATCGTGCTGCTCAAGCTGAGGTCGTTGTTCTGTTCTGCTGTTTCTTCTGGGTCCATAGGGTATAGTCAGAAACTGCCCAACTGTAGCAGGTGTATATCCAGGGAGTAAATACAACTGTTAATGGAGTAGTCATGTCTGAGAAGAAAAAAAAGTATTGCTTTATTCTTATAGTTTGAAAGCTATCAGCTGGGCATCCTAAGGATTTCCAAAGTCTGTTGAAAGAAAAAAATATTTGCAAAATTTAAGCTTCTCATTACTGTATAGCAGGTTAAAGATAAGATAAGCACCTTTAGCTTGTCTTCAGAATAATAAGTATGATTGTTTCTTTGATACTTAGAAGTTCCCCAGGTTCCTACATGTATCATGAAATTCCCCATTGGGATGGGGGAGTTAGAGAATGTGGATTTTTTGTAATGCCTACTATGTTTCAGAAATTGTGTCAAGTGCTTTAAAATTATCTCATTTGATCCTCACAACAGACTTGGGAGGTAGTGGTGTTATTATTCCCATTTTACAATTGAGGAAACTAAAGCAAGCAGAGATTAAGTGATTTACTGAGGGTCAGCCGGTAAGTGTTTGAGGCCACATTTGAACTAAGGTCTTCTTAACTCTGGATAAGTGTTTAATCCACTGTACCACCTGGCTACTCTTGCACGTAGTTAACTTCAAGTTCAGTCATCACAGTTGCACATAGGTGTTGGCAGCATGTTGCTTGATCCTTAGTGACTCAAATGAAGCCAGTGGTATTTTAAATGCCTAAAAGAGCCCTGGATTGATAATTCTTCTAGGAAGCACCTTGCATGCTAACCTTCAAAGTTAGGATCCTCTTGCTTGACAAATAGAATACCTCTTCCATTAATTATGGCTGCTAGAAGTAGTGTCTTGGGTGAGATAAGCAGTCATGGGTGTCACCTGCTTTGCGGCAATGATGGGATTTAGAGCAAGATGAAGACCTGTGAGAGTTGTTCAAGATTGTGCGATAGTGAATAGCAGGCACATTATTTGAACCCCGATTTTATGACTCCAAATCCAGTGTTGCCTTCGGTCAGTAATCCAGAACAGATAATCTCTGCCTAGTACATTGTCCAAGAATATTAGACTAGTAGATGATGAAGGCTGTAATTGTACCTTAAAGCTTCTAGATGTCACTTAGAGAAAATGTTGTTTTTCATTCAGCTTCTGTGTGGGAGAGGGTTACCAGCCATAGGCATGTAGCCCTGAAGTATTAAGGCTGGAAGACTTGGGGTCTAAGAGGAAAGAAAATGAATTTGTGATCTGTGGCTTAGTGCAAGTCTGCTGAATTGGGGAAAGGAACCTGGTGCCTGCTCTTCTCACCAATATGATGCTGGGAAATCCTTTAAAAATTTACCTGCTAAAAACTCGCAGAGTTGAGGCATAGGATTCTCTTTCAATAGAGAATATAAAGGGCACAAAACAAGGAACACAAGGTAGCTGAGGGGTGGGATTTTAATCCAGAGCTGGATGGAAACGTCAAGAAAAATGCTATCATGTGGTTGAAGAGGCATAGAGGCCAGAGACATTTTGTTGTTCTGCATGTGGAAGCCATTTATCATATATTAAGACTGAAGTCTATTCTCCAGCTTGTGTTTAAGGGTTCAAGGCAGATTTTAGATGCATCTATTTGAGTGTCATGGGCTTTGTGGACCATTTGCATTTATTGCTGAACAATGTCTCTTCCTGTTGGCATCAGATTTGTGTCCAATTAGCTGGTGCCCAGTGCTTCTCAGAGCAGCCAGGATCTGGAGCAGTGTTTTGAGCAAAGTGCTCAGCTATTGGATGGCAAAAAAAACCACTTTGAGACCTTTTTGTATGGGAGCCAGTTAGGTTTTGCAAATGAAGCACACCCATATAATGGCCAAGTTGGTGCATAGGGCATCTGGGGAGTAGGAAAGAAAGGAAGGGTAGGTCTGAGAATTCACTGGAGACCACTAAGGGGCTTTTTTTTTTTTTGCACAGGCTAAATGTGCTCACAAGGAGGTCTCCCAGTCCCATGAATCTGGGGGGAGGGGCGGCGTGCCAACAGTTGGGCCCGTGCTGAACTCCCTAACTCTGGGGACTAGAAAACAGTTGAGAAGCATTAAGCTTATCCCCATGAGCGTGTTTGCTTCTTTGTATTCTTGTTTGTTTACTGTTCTCCTAATTCTCTCCCTCCCTTTCTTCCCACCTCTTCAAACTCAACTCCTTGTTCCTCTGAGGTTGGGGTCAAGCTTTAACATGACTCTCTTTGCTTGTAAGTCACAATTGTCATATGTGGACTCCTTGTGTGCTGTGTGCCAGTTCTAACCAGTCGTCTCCCCTTGTGTTGTTTTTCCATTCTCTAACGCTCCAGGTCCAGATAGTCTCCAAAAAAGTGAACTACAGCCATGTTCAATCCAAGTGTGGTTCCAAGGACAATATTAAGCATGTCCCTGGAGGTGGGAATGTAAGTATGGGCTCTGGACAGTTTGTCTTTCTACTAACTCTTCTTAAGAGTGGCTTTCCTTGGTATCTGAGAATATCAGTCTGTGGTATTCTCTGTACTTAGGCTGAGTGCATCAAAATGGCAGAAGGAATCAGGTGGGGTCATTGGTAACAGGGAGGTAGTAATCACCTATTTCTTGTGAAAGGGTACCTCTACTTCCTTTGCCAAGAGCATAAGCACTAATAATACTTGAATTGCTATATGGAGAACATTTATGATTTGGCATGATTCTATTTGATGGAGAAAAGAAGAAGAATCCTGGAAGAAAATGAATGTTATGTGAACAGCTACTGATGTTAAAAACTGAACAGTTTACACAGCAAGGATATTGTGGTAGAGGAGCCTAATCCTTTCCGTATTTCTGTGTACCTGGCCTACTCTGCTTGAGTGGCAACGCAACCATTGAAATAGGCCTTAAAATATAATGTACATTGGGGTGGTGCTATCGAACAGGAAGAGCCGTAGGCGAAGGAGCTTTGCCCCACCCAGAGCGGCTGCTCTTCCCTTGTCTGTACTCCTCAGATGAGCTCGGTTTTGTGGTCATTTTCTGAGATTGGTCCCAAATGTTGTCATCTAGTCCTTCTATCAGGAATGCTCCTTCCCTTTGGGACTTCTACCCTGAGTCTTAGACTTGGCTAGATTCTTATTCTGGACAATAGCCAGGTAGAATGCCTGATTTGGCCCTGAGTGAGTTTTGTTTCCCTGCTGATGGCAATGATGATGTAGTTTAACCTGACTTTTACAACAGTTAAGATAGATTCTCTGCATTGGAGGCACATATCCACATCATAGTAAAGAGCCGCCTCTGACCATTGAACCCTAGAACCCACCATCCACTTCTGATGATTCATATTGGAACAATTGATCCTGACATAGGGAATTTTAAAAGCCTCTCTAAAGTTCCAGGCTCTAAACTAGGCCTGCACAACCTGAGGCTCCATCTAAAGAACTTAAAGGCCACCAGTGAATAACAAAGAGATAACAGACTCAAGGTGCTGAGTGCAACTTTCATTTTTGGACACACAAGCAACGTGATAATTTGTTTTGCTTGATTGTGCTAGTCTTTTTTTCTTATTTGGGCGGTGTTGGCTTGGGATCAGTGATAGGAGTTGCCTCCCCTCCAAAAAAAATCCTTGGAGATAATACTTCAGTGTTATATTTAACCATGCTGGTGATGGAAGGTAGGCTCTTTAGAGGAAAGAGGTAGACAGTGCTATTCTAAGAAGATAGTCATGGAGTACATAATTTGGATTTTCACAAAAGGAAATGAGATGGGAATGATGGATTTTTGCACCCTGGATTTCATGTAGTGTGAAGGCCAAGAAAACAGTTTTTTGGAGATTCCAGATATAACCCTGAGAGATTTCAATTGAAAATGAAGTATAGGAAGAAAATAAAATTGCCTCCACACACACACACACACACACACAGAGTGATATTTAGTGGAGGAGGAAGGGTAGATGCACAGTAATTCTTTTTGAGGGGGGGATGGGGAGATGGGTGGGGCAGTTGGGGTTAAGTGACTTGCCTGGAGTCACGCAGCTAGTGTGTGTTATTTGTCTGAGGCCAGATTTGAACTCAGGTCCACCTGACTCCAGGGCTGGTGCTGTATCCACTGTGCCACCTAGCTGCCCCCCTGCACAGTAATTCTAAGGTATCTAGAAGAGGGGCAGTAGCAATACTGGTGGGCAGCTTGGTGGCAGAGTGGATAGAGTGCCAGGTCTGGAATCAGGAAGACTCCTCAGACACTTAATAGCTGTGTGATTCTGGGTTAGTACTTTAACCCTGTTAAACCCTCAGTTTCCTCATCTGTAATATGACCTGGAGAAGGAAATGGCAAACCACTCCAGTATCTTTGCCAACAAAATCCCAAATAAGCTCATGGAGAGTTGAACATGAATGAAAATGACTGAAGAATGATAACGATAATGCTGGATATCTCAGATGTCAAAGGATCCTAGATTTAGAGATGAAAGAGACTTTGGGAGATCATGTAGTCCAGGGATTCTTAACCTGGAGTCCGTGGTGGTACATGAGTTGGGTTCAGGGGAGTGTTAAGATAAAAAGCGTATCTTTATAATAAAGATGTAAAAAGTTAATCTTTATTTTCACTAACCTTTGTTTTCCTTTGTAATCCTACATATTTTATTCATTTAAAAGCATTATTTTGAGAAGGAATCTATAAATTTTACCAAATTGACACACAAAAAAATTAAGAACTACAGTTCTAGGCCAAACCCCTTATTTTACACACCAGGGTGTGTGGGGGGGGATGGGGACGGGATGGGACTAAAGACGTATCTTAAAATGACAGCACAGGTTTATGTACATTTTAGGTCTCAATCACAGACACACACACACACACACACACACACACACACACACACACACACACA